TTCTTGCCTTTGAAGGATTCTAACTCGAGCTTCGGAGCCCTTACGCCGGGTTCTCCCCAGAGCTTCTCTTCTCCTCCCGTTTCAGGTCCCTGTTACTCAGTTCAGAGGCAAGATCATCGACAGCTAAGACCGGCCAGATTGTGCATCATCACATTTCATGCCAAATCAAAACTTGGAGAATCCCACATGTTATCAATTTGTAGCATTCAAAGAAAATGAAGTGTGACGAAGAAATTTACCTCTTTGATAGCCCCCAACAAGCATTAAATAAAGAAATCTAAGAATACCAAACTAAAAGGGAGTCTTTAAGATGCATTTCAGCACTTCACAGCTCATTCACATTGCAATTTTCCATGATATCCTAAGAGCACGTGCATGAAAACCCTCTGGTTTGGGTGGTGGATTTAATCCACATGAAAGAAATGCTTGAAGTACCAATATTCCAATCCGTTATTTTGCTCTTCCAACTTATTCTACTGATTAAAATTTCCTCCAAGAAACCATTATTAGAAATAAAGAGGCAAAAACATCTTATTGACAAAGGAGAACGGAAAAGAAGCAAACTAACATGACTATTGTATGAGGAAATTAAGCATGCATCTATTCTAGCAATTCTCCTAAAAACCCAAAATTCTAAACAACCCAATAAATGCAAATGAAGAGACAAACATGCTCAAATTAGAAGGTGCAAACAAAAAGAAACCTAAACTAAATATCAATCCAAAAAGGTCTAACCCAAAGCCAAGCATGTTGGCAAAATAAAGAAAACAAAGAAACAAGAGAGCTATCTTATTTGCAATGAACAATCAAAACACAATATATGAATGAAAGACTAGCAAAACAAAGCTAACTTTATTCAAAAAGGAATAAACAACTTGGGTACCCCATGTGGGCCCCTATGGTCCAAGAACTCCCTAATGGAGTTGCTAGTCTGTAAGCGTCAGAAAAACGGCTCACTTGCCACTTGGGCTGGGAATGGAGTCGCCAAGCATCAATTATGGAAATGGAGGTGATGGGACCTCCGAAAATGGTGTCAAGAAATTCGCTTTTTATTTGTAGTGACTCCAAAACCCAGACACTCACTACACCAGTCCAGATAAGGNGACCTCCGAAAATGGTGTCAAGAAATTCGCTTTTTATTTGTAGTGACTCCAAAACCCAGACACTCACTACACCAGTCCAGATAAGGCTCAAATGGGAGAGGGAAGGGATTAGGCACCCCTCTCCCGGGTCCAATAGGTGGGGCCCACATGGTATACCAACAAACACAAGCATAAGAAAATTTATTTAAACAAACTAACGAGAAAGAAAGCAAACCACAATAATATGACAACTAAGAAGAAAAACCTCCCAATTTTATTTATCTATGTATTTTTTATTATTATTTTTATTCTTTATTTTCTATTTTCTTTTGTTATTTCCTTATGAAACCCTATTTGTCTATTTGTTTTATGAAATTATTATTACTTTTTTATTTTATATGTTTTTATTTTTCTCACCTGTTTCTTTTTTATTTCTTATTTTTTTTATTTATTTATAATTTTTTGTTTGTATTACCATTTCTTATAATGACCTGTTCGTCCCCAAGACCTGTTTTTCATTTTAGTTTACCCTCCCCGGCCTATCATCTTCTCACTCCGTGCCTGCAAACGGAGATGTCTCCCCTCATTCATTGTCTTAACTAGGTCACCATCCTTTATTTTTTTTCTTCTTATTCTTATCTATAAAAACCGAGCTCCCATTAATAAGGGAATTCAGCAACGATGGTCTTCTTCAACCCCGGTTAAAATGACAGATCCAAACCCATCCCTTACAGTCTTAGGAGATTGAACCAACAAACTCTTTCATTTTGAATTAGCTCACCGGAAAAAGAACGAGAAGGGCGGAAAGATGCCGGATAAGACGGACCTGTCCCCAGATCTAGTAGAAAAGGAGAGCCTCGCCACCAGTTAGATATCCTGTTTTTTCAGAGAGATTGGCGGCGACCAGAGTTGCAGGGGGCGAAATACCGACGGGAAGAAAATTAAAAAGAAAAAAAAAAAACGAAAACAGAAAAGGAAAAGAGAGAGTGGGGAACGATGGAGGGATACCGATGAGAGAAGAGAGAACGCCGCCGCTGTTCAACGAAGAAGGCGATGAACAGTGACCTTCGTGAAATTCGAGGAAACGGAAGGAAAAGAGGGTGAGAGAGATTGGAGGTGGGGATCGGAGAATGTTACCGCCGCTGCTGGCGTTCGAATGAGGGAGGAGGTGAGGTCGATTCCTTCGAATTCCTCCTTTGGTGAATAAGAGTTTCTCTTAAATTTAGGGTAAATTTCTTAAACTACCCATACCTTTATTGTTTGAAAATTGTTTTTGACAATTGACTAATTCTATTACCATCCGTTAATTTTTCGTTATATGTGACATTACATGACTCATATATTTATTAAAATTCCTAAAACACCTATACCACCTCCATTCCTAAAAATACCCTTGGACTTCTGTTCCTAAAATACCATCCCTAAAACCTTTTTATCTCATCTTTGGGTCTCCGTCTCTGTCTCGTCTGGAGGCTTTCTTCATTATTCCAACCTTTTGAAATTCAAAGGCTTCCGACATAACTAGTGTGTGGAATAGATCTCAGTTCCCGTAAAGAGATCTCAATTTCAACATCCTTAAAGGCTTTATTCTTCTTTACTTCTTTATCTGTTTCAAATGAAAACCCAGGAATAGAGATGTCTATCTCAGTTCCAGTGAAGAGATCTTAACCGGCATGCTGGTTAGGTAGTACCCCTTCCCTCCTTTTAAAAGATCTAGTGGGTTCTGGTGAATTGTTGAGAGGTACAATCTACCCAATATTAGATCTTTTAATGGGTTTTAAAAGATCTAATGGATTATAAGGAAAATGTACTACATAATCAGCATTCTTCATTAATTCTTTATCTGTACTCCCTCTAGTTTTGGCTGCAAATGAATCAAATCAGATTCGTTTTACAACCAAATCTTGTCTAACAAGCGCTAGATTTTGATCTCAGTTCCAACAAATAGAACGATAGTGCAGATAGTTCCGGGAGGTTCTAGAGAAGAGAACGATACGGGTTCCAGAGAAGAGAACAAGAGGGAGAGGATGTCGATAGTTCCGATGAAGAGAACGAGTGTAGATCTCAGTTCCGATGGGTTCCAGAGAAATAACGAAAGGGAGAGGGAGAGATCTACAGTTCTAGTCGTAACTGGAGTCTTATTGTTTCCTAATCTACAGTTCTGGCAGTTAATGATTCCGAGAAGAAAACAAAAGGGAGAGGGAGAGATCTGAGAGATCTACAGTTATAGTAGTTCCGGCGGTTCTAGAGAAGAGAACAAGAAGGAGAGATCTAAGATATCTATAGTTTCGGTGGTTCCAGAGAAGAGAACGAGAGGGAGAGGAAGAGACCTGGGAGAACTACAAATTCAGCAGTTCCAGTGGTTCCAAGAAGATAACGAGAGGGAGATGGAGAGATTTGAAAAATATACATTTCTGGTGGTTCTAACAGTTCCAGAAGAGAACGAGAGGGAGAGGGACAAATTTGTAGTTTTGGCGGTTTTGGTTTAGAAGAAGAGAATGGACGGGAGGGGAGAGATACACTTTTTGAAAATTTAAAGAAAAGTATAGGGTAAAATAGTCTTTTTATATATTTTCCGTTGACAAAACAATTAGTCAATTGTCAAAAACAAAAGGGGTAACGACGATCAATTTTCGAACAGTAAAGGTACACTTAGTTAATTAGCTAAATCATAATGTTAGTTTAAGAAATTTACAATCAAATTTATAATCAACATCAGGGGCATTTTCATAATTTAAGGAGAAACTATGGATAAATTTATAATTTTATAAATTTGGGCCACAATCAGGGTCCTAGTTCAATAATGGGTAGTTCCGTGTCCAAAGGTGGAGGGTTGAAATAGGTATGACCACAGAAATTGGGTTTGTACATGTAAACTAGTAAGATTGGCCAAAATGAAATATTTTCGAATAGGAAGGTAAATGAGAGTATTTTTGGCTAAAATTTCATAGGGTGGGGTTTTTGAACATTCTGAGTTGGTTTGTAGGGTTGGATTGGCACAATTGGACCCAAATTGGGCAGATCTAGAAAGGGCACAATTTGCCTAATCTAAAGCCTTGAAACAGAATCCTTGTGTGACCAAGGGGCAAACAAGGGCAGATTTAGGTGAAATTTGATAGGGTTGGTTTTATTGGGTAGCTTTGAGGTGATTGGTAAGGTTAGATTAAGCCAATTGGGCCCAGATCAGGTAGATTTGTAATCCGGTCAATCTACGACCTTAAAATGGAATCTTGGTGCGATTGAAGGGTAGACGGAGATATTTTGGGCTGTGATTTCATGGGTGGTATTTGGGGATGTTTGAGATCTGATGATGTGGTCTAACCAGTCTTAGAGGGTTAAGATAGTAGGAATTTAGGTTAACAAAATGCTCATAAACAAAATCTTGGTTTGATAGAAGGGTAAATGGGGGAATCTGGGGTTAAAACTTTATGGGAATGTGTTTTGATGTATCTAGAGTTTAATGGAGTGGGTTGATCAGTTCGGATGTGTCAAGATCAAAGGAATCTAGGTTCTGAGTGTTTAGGCTAACGAAAGAGGTCGAAATAGAATCTTCATTTGATGAGGGGGTAAACGAGGGAATCTTGGGTTGAAATTTTATGGATAGGTATTTTGGAAGGTCCTGAATTTAATGGTTGTGTCTGATCTAATAGTTGAGGTGTAAATGGGTATTGATCGAGGCCATTGGATAGGTTTAATTGAGAATTTTATAAACAAGGGAATCTCAACGCTCCTATGTCTGAAGGTCATGGATTACCTTGGCTACTTCCATCAAAATTCAGCTTAATAAACTCCTCCCCTGATGGCATCCATTCAACCACATGCATGTCCTTCCTAGTAGAAATATTAGCCATTGCTAACCAGTTGCTTCATAGGTCGTCAAAAGAGTATGCATCAAAGAGATTTAGAGTTTTCAGCCACTGAATTGCCCTGGTCAGAATACATTCTTTAGCTTCCAAAAAGCTTATTTCTTTTTCATAAAAAATTATGGTGTTCTTTTCTTCCCAAATTGTCCACAACAAAGCTGCTCTTATGCACTTCCACATAATTCTCCTTTTCTTTGTGTGCTATTCAAAGATAGACGAACCAAAGAACAAGCAAGTATCAGATGACAGGTTCCACCTACACTCAAACAATATAAAACTCTAATTTCATAAAGCTATAGCAAATGAGCAAGAGATCAGTAAGTGGTGACAATTACAAAGAACACACCAATTTGGGGATAAACACCATTTTGGTCTCCTATTTTGTAGGTTTTCAAAGGTATTAATCTTACCATAATATACTTCTCAACAAAAAAACAACAATATTTGGGGGAACGGGTCTAGTCCATAATTCTTTAACTGGAAAGTTCTAGGGTGCAAAAGTGGAGCAAAGGGACTTGAAGAAAAAGGAGCAAGTAAAAAAGCTTTACGGGTTAGGAGTCCAAATTCTTGTGTCAAATTTGAGGGAATCTAAACAAAAAGACTCAAGTAAAGAAAACAATTCTGAAACACAAGCACTTTCATCATCACGTAACCCTCTACGGAAACCAAAATCCAAGTTTAGGGCCACCAAAGAAGCTGGGGAGGAAATAAAACTAGAAACCAACTCTTTCTTATAATGGGAAAGAGAATAAAGAGAGGGAAAAAGGTCTTTTAGAGGTTGGTTGCCTACCCAAATGTCTTCCCCAAAAAGAAAATTGTTTATAGAGTTAACATCATACTTGACCAGATTGAGAAAATGGGAAAGGATTCAGTGTATAGCCTTATAGGGTGTTGCAAGAGTTGCCCGTTGAGATACCCCGACAACCCAACCATTCTGCGAACAGCCATGAATACTATTCACCACTTTGTGCCACATCCTCTATTTCTCCAACGGCCATCTCCAAAGCCACTTCCCTAGTAAAGCTTCATTCTTAAGAACTAGGTTACCTAATCCTAATCCCCATTCTTCCTTACATTTGCTAATTATCTCCCACCTAATCAGATGATCCTTCTTCTCTTTCCCTCGCTCCCACAAGAAGTCCCTCATCACCTTTTCTAGCTTCTTAACTTCCCTTGAGGATATCTTGAACACTGAAAGAAATTAAATCGGAAGACTACCAAGTGTTGCCCTAATCAAGGTCACTCTACCCCTAGCAAAATGTAACTTTTCTTCAAGAAAGTCAACCTCTTTTCAAACGTTTCCACAATTGGATACCAGATTCGACTTTCTACAGCCTCTACCTCCCAAACTTACAAATTGATTCCAACCACACAATTTTTGTCAAAGTTAATTGTCAGGTTTGAAGAAGACTCAAAGGATTTAATAAGATTTTTTGGGTTCCTCACTTGCCCTAATGCTCCCCCTTCACAAGAAACGATAACATCATCAGCAAACTAAAGATGAGTCACCGGGACATTATTCCTGCCTATCCTCCAACTTCTTAATAGCCCTTTCCTATCTGCTTTAGAAATCATTCTACTAAACACATCTATCACAAGTGTGAACAAGAAGGGTGAAAGAGGATTTCCTTGCTTGAGCCCTCTACATGCTGGGAAAAAATCCTTGACCCCTCCATTAACTAGAATTGAAAATTGACAAGAGGTTATGCATCCGCTCACCCACCTGCACCATCTATCCTCAAATCCACATTTTCTTGACACTTCTAATTGTAAATCCCAATCCACCAAGTCGTAGGCTTTCTCAATGTCCAACTTACAAATAAAACATTGATTGCTTGATCTCTTCATTTCCTCCACACATTCATTTACTATAAGGATCTGGTCTATAATCTACCTATCAATTATTAAGGGCACTTCTGGGGTATCGCCATGTGTCCCTGTGGGGATTTGGCCGAGGATTGACTTTCCTTTCGCTCGGAGATCCTCACGACTCATGTGTACTACTACCCCTTCACGCCTTGCTTAATCGACATGGCGCTAGTGACGTCACCTTATGGCCGGTGATGTTGGGCCTGCGTGGCATTTTGTCGTGTTTGCTGCCTCAACATTACTTGTGCAGCTAATACCCGAGTCCAGTTCTTTAACGAACTAGAATCCCGTAGTGTTTTAGGGTTCATCATAGAGCCGAGTACGTATAAAGCCTCATCGTGGGTTCATCTTGAGTTTGCTCTGAGCTTGCTTTGCATTTGTGCTAAGAATAGGCTTACCATGAGCGTGCAATGAACCATGGGTTCATGGCAGACCTACGATGCACTGTAGGTTCATCACAGAAGAGAGAAATTGGCCACGGGCTAATCGCAAGCGTCCATGTGGTATATGCCCAATGTTTATTGTCTTCTGATGGACTGAACGGGCACTATGCACCTACAGCTTGTTTTCTGAAAAGGATTTGTTTGCAAGAATAGATGTACCCTTATCATCCTTTAAAGCTGCTGCTAGGTTCCCCTCATCCTTGTGTGGTGCATCAGTTGTTGAAGTCTTTAACTTTTCAGCCTTGTCTTCCACCTTATTCTGCTCCTCCCCCTTTCCACATCCTTCCAAAACAGATATTTCCTCCTCTGGGAATAGAATAACAGTGTTTAAACTTTCATCCTCCCACAAATCCTTTGAATCTTGCAGATTTACACTTCCTATACCGATCGTGTCGTCGTCTGTGTCTGAATCAGAATTGCTTTCAGCTTCAGTTGACTTCTCTGCTTCAAGGTTTTTAAGGTCATGCCGTCAAACTGGCCTTGGATTGCGACGATCTTTGGTAAGTCACGACAGATTTTTCGAAGGAATCCATTGTAGCGAACCTGTTCTCTGGTTTGACTTGTTCGAAGCCTTAGAAGAGCTCGATGGGGACGGTGCTAGACGATTAAACTTGTCTAGCATCAATCCTTCCTCAGTCACGCGTGGTTTTAAAGACTCATGTGATAACTTAAGACATGGGCCAGCTACAGTTGGTCCAGTAAAAAATTTCCTGTTTGAGAAGGCCCAAATGAAATGTTAAGCCCAGCCCCACTTAACTGTTCAGTCACATGAGTTTTTAAAGAGCCACCCCCTTCGGCTTTACCTGATGGCTCAACCCTCTTAATAACTGGTTCGAAATCCTTGGCCAGACTGGTTTTTCCTTTTGGAGATGAATGGTCCACTGTAGCTTCATATCGGCTTAAGAAAACTACATTAATGCTTCGGGTTTGGTACAACCGAACTAGATCTGATCTAATATAAATACAGAAAACAATGATTAGGGTTTGGCCTGTCCATACCGGTTCAGGTGTTTTGCTAGCCTAGTCTAATCCAGACCAATTCAGTCTTTATGGATTTCCTAACTTAATACTTAATTCACATTAATTATTTTACAATTAATTAATTAACAACAAATTAACAATATTAATTATGGATTACTAATAAATAATTACCATAACATTAATAGTAATTAATTTATAAATAATTAATTACTCATTTGGTTAATTAGCTTGTTAATTAAGTACTACTGGTTTACTTAAGATTTTTAATATTAATTAATATTAAAAATAATATTCTGATAATTATTATTTTGCAATAATTTTCTATTAAGTAATAGCTAAATGATTAACAATAAATTAACAGTATATTAACATTGTTAATTGTGGATTAATAATAAATACTTGCCAAAAATCCCTAGAATTTATCAACAGTAATTAGTTGACATTGAAGTAATATTAAATTACTTTTTAATTGTTTTACTCTCTTCTATTAATTATTTTTTAATAAATGTAATGTATCCAAAGCTTTATATTTAATGGGCCAAATTTACTTAAATTTAACATAATTGACCTAATATGATAAATTAATTATTCTAATCTAATCGATTAAACTAACCTAATCGACTTAAATTAAGTAACAAAACCAAACTAACTAAATAAACATAACACAATTTAATTTAGTAAACCAAGATACCCATTGGGTATCTAGCCTACGCAACTCAATTGGGTTGGGAACAACTCTAGCGAAGACCAGGATGAGGATAAGGAATAATCGGGATACCTGATTGGGGACAGGGATGGGGATGGGGAATGAAGTCTTCACCCCGATAGGGAACCCATTGGGACAAATTGGACGAATTTTGAAAATAGCTCTATATAATTCTAATAATTCTACTACATTTATTGGACAAATTTCATTTTCTATGTTATCTTGGTAATCAATGATGATAGTTTAATGCTAAACCAATTTAGATTACTGTATTTTTCTTTCTTGTAAGTATTTTTTTTTTTCCTAAGCAAGCTTTTAATCAAAAAAAAAAAAGAAAAAGAAAGTCAGGGATTGAAGTTGTCATTGAGGTTCATTTCATTTTTCTTCTTGACAAGAATAAGGGACGGAGATGGCAGTTATTTAAAAATTGTAGACAAGGATGGTAAATGTGGTCCTTGCCTTATGCCCACCTTGTTGCCATACCTAAAATCTGCCATCTCAATATATTAAATCAATAAAAAATTAGATATGTAATAGTAGTAAAAAATTAATAATTAATAGTATACAATACGAACAAATGAAAGTTAGTGAAAATAAAATATTACTAAGATAAATTAATTAGAAAATTAAAATAAATATTAATAAAACAAGTTAACAAGTATTAGTAAGCATATATGCATAACATTTCATTAGATGTTTCAAAATTAACCATTTAATTTGAAATTATTATTTGTATGGTGAACCCATATTTAAATTCCATTTAAAATAAATGACAATGAACAAAATATCATACAAATTAGTAAAAATCAAATAAATTTAACTAACAAAAAATAATTAATATTAACAAAAATAAAGTTCATTTTAAATTCAATTTGAAACAAGACATCTAATCTTATATTAGTTTTTGTATTTAGCTTTTTATATTAAATGAAATTTGTAATATAATAAATAGATTCATAGAATATTAAATTAATACTAAATTAAATCAAGAAATAACAAATAGATATTTCTATTGATAGAAATTGAAGTCTTGAAGTCTTTTATTAATGACAATTGAGTTCCTAACATTTAATCTTTTGGTTAATTTTATTATATAAAAATACAAAAGCAAAAACTTAGAACAACTAGTTGGTTGTTGTCAATGATTTGATCATGAACTTTCAGATTTTAGGTAATAGGTTAGTTGTAGTAAGAAGAAAACTAACCTCAAGCCACCAATAAGGCTGTAAACAACCAGTTGACGAACTGGAATGACAACCAGCAAGACCAATCAGCATTTGCCAGATGGTGACAAGACAGTTGTGGCTACTAGAAAGGTTAGAACATTTAGGGTATGCTATTATAATTTTAGAGATGCCTTTTGTAAAATCCCCTCTAAAAATCTAAAAATCCAAAAATATTAAAGATTACACAAGTATCTGTCTCGTAAGCATTTGATCATGTACCTGAAAGCTGCAATGGTGCAGATCTCAAGGATCCAGAAACACAAGCTTGCTGATGCAAGTAACTAGATACAATTGAATTGAATAGGACTGGAGCAAATAGGAGGCTTTTAGTCCATTTAGAGGTCATGTATGCTTGATGTATCTCACATGGCTAAGAGAGAACCTCAACACCCAAGGTTAAGTTCCTTATTTTCAGGAATAAAACAACCAAATAAGCATGCTGGGTGAATCATTCTCCAAGGGACTTAATGAAGCCCCTTCAGATTGAGAGAAGTGTCTCATTAACCAAGGATCTCATCAGTCCGTCATGTAGCCTACACCAAACCAAATGGATTTCCAATAAATCAGTAATAACTGGAAATATGATCCAAAGTAATCCAGCAATATTGGTATCCCTGGGCATAAAAAAATATTTTCAAGTAACAACCAAATAAGTTTTTATTTTATAGAAAATAAATAATAATAATAATGATAATAATAATAATAATAATATATTATTATCATTATTATTATTATTAAAGAACAAAAGAAAAAAAAAACTTTGATTACGTGTGTAAAGGTGTTGCATAGAGATAACCATGAAATAATCCTCTTCCATCAACATGTGACCTGTCACTTGACCATTGGATATTCTAAGAGAGGATCAAACAAGGGCCAATGGCCACTAATATCATGTCTATCTATTAGAACATATCATTAGATTTTGTTTCTTTATTCTTTTTTGAGAGAAAAACATATCATTAGATTTGATCCGATAATTAATTGAATCATATCATTAGATTCTCCTGTTGTTAGATTCAAATTTGATTTATTAAGCCTTAATGAGAACCCATTATAAATGGATCACATTCAAATTGATCCGAGGCATTTGAAACATCAAAAAACACATCACCAGTGATGAACAACTTTCTAATTTTTAGTGGCCTCTAATGATTTTCCTTGATGCTCATTTTATTTCTTTCTTAGCTTTTTTGGGACATGACTTTGTGATTTTGTCGCATCCCGTTTTCAACTGAAGTGATTTTGTCATAGCCAGTACTAAAACAGGAAAAAATAATAAAAAAGAAAGAATCAAGGATCAAAGCATATTCATTTAAATACAGCATCGGCATAGCCCTTTTGTCGTCCCAAATTTTACTATGCTGCCATTTCAATGTTATTGACCCATGTGTTGCACAGGGCAAGGACCGAACATTTTCAAAACGAAGTGGCATGTTTCTCCATTGAAATCATAAATAGTTTATGCCTTTAGATGCCAACAAAAAATTTAACAAATGGTGGCTAAACCGAGTTGTGGTACTTAAGAACTTCCTTTGTATCCAAATGATATGCTTTGCAAATATCAGTAATAACACGTCTACTGACACCATAACCTGCACCTTGGCCAAGAAGTTTACCGAGCTCCTCACAGGGGTTCAGAACCTAATCAAGGAAAGAAATGAAATCTTAGAACATTCATAAAAGATTAATTGCCACGTAATGAAAAAGAGGAGACAAAACTTGCTTCTGTAATTAGGACTGGAAAACAATGTAAAACACCCAATGCTTTGATCATTACATCCACAACGATGGCTAACTATTCCTTTGCATATTTCATGTCTAAGCAAAAATAACTGCACTTCCAAGTCAGAAATAAAGTTGAGAGTTGATATCTAAACCATGGGCAGTCGGAAATAAAGTTGAGAGAAGCTAGATCTTCATATTCAATCTTATAGGATTTTTTTAGATGTCAAACCTTGAGATCAAACAAAAGCAAAGATGCCTAAAGAAGGCAACTAGGTAGACATTTCCAAACCTCAAGAAAGATAGTTCCAGCCACCCATAAGAACAAACTATTTAAGCTGGTTTTGCAAGTCAAGAAAACCCAAACAGATGGCTCTAAATATTCTACATGACATTATACCAAACATTGTTTACAAATATGCCAATAAAACATCAAAGAATGCCAACAACTTACAATTATCAACAGAAATGAAAGATGTGAACCCCCTCCATGAGTAGGTGTGTCAATGGTTTGGGTTCAGGCTGGATCTTATTACATGCGTTGGTTCTGGGTTTTATCAGGTCTAAGCCATAGAATGATGAGGGTGGTTCCAGACCCAGGACCACCAAATAACTGGAACTAATTGGGCATGAGAAAAAAAAGGTGGAAAAATCTGATTAAAAATCACGAAAATGTAAACATTTTGTGTACAGTTTGAAATACGTAGAAAAAAGTAGATTAACTGATTCTGTTCCTTCATAAATTTCAAGAATTGATATCAGATCTTAAACATGTGGATGCTACTAACAAGGACTGGAGTCGAAGCCAAATTCCTATTAGGTCTCAAATATGTGGACCTGAGATGGACCCCTTTATGGTTGGGTCCTATGTCTGTGGACCCAGGGGATGGCATGTCAGGTATCTGGGAATTGGGTACCAATTGCCGCCCTATCCATGAGACAAGGAGAAGAAGCTTACCAGAGAAGGAATGGATGAATCGTTGATTCCATGATCATCAGAGGCAATTTCTTTGCCATTCTCATTTGAAGCATCCAACTTCAATGCCTTTGAGAAGTCTGAGACCAGTAGAAGAAGCCTCTCACTTCCCTGGAAGTACCAACAATGATTAAACAAGTGGGAGGAGCCGGAAAATGACAGAAAAAATAACAGGCTATATTTTGTAACCAGGTGTTTAAAAATCACGAGTCTGGACCAAGAATGCCACCCAAAAGTATAAGATTAGCAGCATTTCCAATAAGTAAGCAACAGAAAACTGAACAACACATTCATAAAACAGAAATTCCTAACAGTATAGTAATTAGTAAGTAAACACAAATCAGGTAAATGAAAGAAAGGGCAGGGTTTTAAGTGGCCCTCTGGATGTCTAAGTTTTTTGATGGGTTATTTGTCTTAGAGATTTCAAGGACTTCAAGCATAATATTCTCTGTAATTGGCAGCAGGGTTTTAGAGGATAGCCCACCCCAATGTTCCTCCCAATCCACCGAAAAGAGAAACCAATCAAGTCTTGAGAACAATGGGTTAGATTGGAGATTAGACCAAGTGAAATTGTGGTGGAGAAGAGGCAAATCTTTGAGCTCAAAGAGTTGATGAAATTGTTAAACCTCCTCATGCTTGTAGTGATTCTTTGCCTCGGATTATTTGTCTCCTCAGTGAACCAAACTACATTATAGTCTCCACTAATACACCATTGTCCCTCCCATAATCCTCTAATGTCACTGAGTTCTTCCCCTTCTACTGTTGGTTAGCACCCATTCATACCCATCCTCTGCCTGTTGGAACTTCATAGAAATAGTGCATTTACCAGGTAGCTCTTCCACTCCTACCACTCTAATTTCCAGAGAGTGACTATTCCTCCTAAAGCCCCCCACGAAGGAATCCAAGCCCAACCTATCCCTCTTGCCTTCCACAAACTTCTAACCCATTTATTGTCAAATTCAGCCAACATTGATTCTTGCAACAAAACTATGTTAGGAAGTAAGTTAGGATTTTCTTTCTTAATCAAATCTTTTATTACCACTCTTTTTCTTGCACTCCCCAAACCTCTCACATTCCAGCTTAATATTTTCATTTACAATCAATAAGTTGCCCCTTTTCTTCCCCTTCTACTGCCCGCCTCTTCTTCTCTCCCCTCTTCCACTAAATTCCTTGTCACCTAGAATATACAACCTCAATCTCTCTACCTCAGTTAATTTTTTCTTTTTAGTTTTCCTTCCATCTTCAGGCTTCATCAAAGACACCTTCAACTCATTGGGATCCTTAAACATACAGCCTAGTTTCCCTACAAAGGCTGCTATTGAATCTTCCTCTTTCTCTCCTAAAACTCCTTTATCCCTCTCCCCCCTTTCTTCTAAACACCAAATATTTGTGGCTCTAATCTCTTCCCTTTGAACCTCTCCTGTTGAATTTTGTTCTTTCTCCAACTCACTCTTTTTTAAATCCTCAAGCAACTCACTGATAAGTTCCCAAATTCTCTCCCCTTCTTCCTTCCTCCTTCTTCCCTCTTCCCTCTCTCCTCTCTCTTTCTTCTCAGGTCTGAGGTCCGCCCAACCTCACCAACTCCTATTTCTGGCTCTTGGGCTCTTGGCTTAACAGATATGGATGCTGGAAGACCTGCTTCAGGCAAAGGACAGTTATTAGTATCAAAAACTGAAAACACCACAGTACCTAGGTTCGACTGGGAGGGCAAGAAGTTGTCTGCCATCTTTTCCTGCTCTATGCATGAGCTGAGCCTAATACCTAGGTTGTTTCCAGACTTAAGAAAGTTTCCATGTCATTTGATTTATCTTGATTCACTCCAGACCTCTTTTGTTTACCCCTTTCCGGTGTGCATCTGTTCAACCTTTGGCAATCATTGTTTAGACCTTTAATCATCTCTTGCCCTTGTTGTGAACATGGAACTTGGTTTCTTATCCCTTTAATCATTGTTTCTCCTTGGTACCGACAAGCTTCCTCCTCATCCCCTCATTCTATTTTGACTTCCTCATCCCCCATACTCTCCTCTTGTACACCTGCAACTTGTGGTTGGGATTGGAATGTCAGGCAGAAAAAAACTCATCAATAGCCTTGATCATTTTCACAAGCATACCTAGAGAGGGACACAACTAGGCAGCTTGGCTAATGAGCACCTAGCTCAACAAAGGACCCAAATGAACCATTTTTCATCTGACATGGAGTTGGAAGGGATGCTTGGAGTGGAAGCGAAACATTCGGGTTGAGAGAAGAATCATGAATTGTACTTCCTTTGCCTTGCACAAAAGGAAGACTATAGACCATCGGTTGGACGCCCAGAACTTTTGCATGTCCGAGAAAGAACTTTATCCCAAGGGTCAATGTTTGAGGTCGCTACCAGTCAAGTGATCTTCTTCCCTTACAACCTCCGTAGGGGCTTCAGAGATCGTTGGAACGGTTTCCTTAGGGTCAAAATCCTCCTCATCTTCCAAAAAATGTTTCTTAGTGTCACTTTCGTTCTCTTGAAACCTGCTGATCTTCCCAGACCAACACTACCCAAACTTAAGGTTTCGGTGTCATCCGAGTTGTACTCCTCACTAGTCGAAAAATCAACTTCCTCATCTTCGACAAACCTAGCAAAGTACTTTTCTTGGCTTCTTGGGTTGCAACAATCTGGTGAAAGCCCCATGTTCACTGCTTTAGGCATCCATCGAAGGGAGCTTTCCCGCCCTTGGACCTTGTATTGAGATAGAGGTCGAGCTGGGGATGAAGATAGACCCCACGAGCCAAGATTCTCCAAATTTGAAAGTAAGAGAAGAAGGAAATCACATTTATTATCTCTCAAACCCCTTCTGAAACCAAAGTCCCAGGTCAAACCAATTTTTGAAAATACACTAAACTTGGCAATAAGTTAATCCCTTAGGTTTGACAAGGAATAAAGTTCAAGATATTGCAATTTTAGGGATTTTGCCAAGTTCATCCCTTAGGTTTAACAAGGAATAAAGTTCAAGATATTGCAATTTTAGGGGTTTGTCTCCAAGCCAAAGGTCCTGCCAGAATAAAACCTTGTCTCCACACCCAACATCAAAGCGGATAAAGTTAAGAAAGGTAGGAAACGCCTTAAAAATTGCTTTCCAGGGAGAGTTTGAAGTTGTTGTAGGAGCTAGTTTTGCATCCTAGCCATTGTCTGTTATACCGTGAATTCTTCAAGTGACCTTGTACCACAGTCTCTCTTCCTCACAAGGAAATATCCATAGCCATTTACCTAGGAGAGTTGTATTTTCTTCATCAAACTCCCTAGGCCTAGTCCACCTAACTCCTAAGTTTTACAAACTTGTTCCCATTTAACCAAGTGGTCTTTCTTTTTCTCTCCTAGCTCCTAAATGGTCTTCCTTTTTTTTTTATAGGAAGTTTGGCTCACAGTTAAGCTCGAGCCGAGTCGAGCTCAAACGTACAAGCTTGTGAGCCAAGCCGAATTGAGCTCAAGTCTCAAGCTCGAATCGAGCTCGTGCCTAACATTATTTTGGTGAGACAAACTTTTGAATAGCTAGATATTCGGCTCAGCTCTGGTTCAAATCCACCCTTATTTCCAATTAGACCTTCGATCTTGGGGTAAAATTGGAAAGATGCATTTAATCTCTTGACTTAATAATGATGCTACACTAGATGTTGGACTGATTTATTTTCGAAGTGCCAACCAATGAGATCCTTTTGGGGTCAAAAATGATGCAGGGTCTTTGTGATTTAGCACTATTCTTGCAAGCAACTTAGGTCTAAGTATGTAGCACAAACAAGGAACTAATAGAGAAGGAAGAGAAGAAAAGAGATAGAAATAAGATGAAAACCCTAGGCAATCACACCCCCAACTTGGCAATCACACCAAATTTTGTGGAGAAACTTTCTTGTTCATTAACAAAAACTGTTCTCTAAATGAACCTTACAAGCTTAATAAGAAGAAGCTTCCAAAGGAAGAAACTTGCCCCCCCAAGTTAGCTTGCCCAACAAGCCACTTACAAAAAGAAGCTAGATTAGATTAAACCTACCCCAAACAATTACAAACATAAAGCCAAACAAAGGGAAAATACTAGACTAAGATCTGTTCCCAAACATAACCCACTAAACATGCAAAATTACAAAAATACCCTTGCTGTCCAAAAATGTAAGAAAACTAAATAAGTCCTATCAAGTGGCAAGATTAACCACACAAAGAGCATCTTAAGGTGGACTGAAGACTCTAGGGTCTTCCCAACTTGATGCACTGCTAACCCAGATCCCATGTGGGCCCCACATCTTTATAATGATGCCAAATGAGCACAGGAGCAGCTTTGCTTGGTTGTCTTTTGATATGCCTCAAGTTGATTTCTATCAAAAAACCTAGGGCCCGTTTGGCAAGTCTTTCTTAGAATATCTTGTAGCTTTGACAGTCAAAAGACACATTGAGCTTTTGACATAAGATTTGAGCAGCCCAAAGACCGTTTGGCAGACGCACGTCTTTCCGCGTCTTCCTGCGCGAGCATAAAACGTGAAAAGCTCCATTTGAAGCTTCCCGAAATCAGCCCAAAATGGGCTTTTCACGTCTTTTGGCGGCTAGATCTTCCGTGCGCCAAACAGAAATAGACTAAATTTCGGTCCACTTGGCTTGTAAGTAGCCGAAAGACCGTGTGGAAAGACGCACCAAATGCCCCCTAGTATGTTGAAGCAAATTTGGAAGATACTTTAGTGAGTGATCATTGCAATAGAATCAGCGTCTTTGTTAGACAGAGAATATCCCAAATACAGTCTCTTTGATGGAAACCTAAAACTGTCGGCAATGGATTTCAACTTGTTTTGAAATCGGTTTTGTAAAATGTATGCCAACCAATGAGATCCTTTTGGGGTCAAATATCCGGTATGTTGGAACAGATTGGGAAGAAACTTTAGTGAGTGACCATTGCAATAGGATAAGCCACTTTTTTAGACAAAGAGAAACATCCAAATTACACTCTCTTTAATGGAAACCTAAAACTGTTGCCAGTGGATTTCAACTTGTTTTGAAATTGGTTTTGTAAATTGTATCTACATTTATAAACAATTTATTTTGATAAAGAGATTGCAAATGGTTTTAATCCCAGGATCCTTTATGAGTAGAAGGTGTAGCCTTGCATTTGGCAGTTAGGCTCCATTTGGAAGGAGTACAAATACAAATATGTAGAGCGCAAAACCTTATATTTGTACTGTACATATTTGTATTTGTACTCCTTCCAAACTGAGCCTTAGGGAAGAGGCCATTTCCTATTGGCCATGTTATGATATTATTAGCTAAGAGATTTTATGCAAGTGTCTCCTTAGGCCGTAAATACCTGGTGAACATTAACTCAGCCCAAATTAATAGTCTTAGATTCATAGGGTGGCTAAGACTAAGTTTAAACCTAAAGTTTAATGGGCCAATTATAGGCCCAACACACTTGGGTGAATTCACTTGTATAGCCAAGCCGAGTTTGGACCATGTGTAGGTTGCACTTAAAGTGTGAACCACTCTTTATAATTAATTTGGAATGAGATCTTGTGGATCCCACACCACACGCACACCCTTTCTCACTGATCCTAATCCCTAATTAGAGGTTGCCTAATGCTGGTCAAGCTCTAATTAGAAATAGTTCTAGTTGGAGTCATAACTAACTAGTTTCACTAGTCAATGTCATAGCTGAATTAGAAACTTCAATTGGATTGTGACTTTCCTAATCAGATTAGGAGAGGATTTGAGCAAAGATTTGCTACACTCTAAGAGTTATATACCCTTGGGTCGACCAAAGCTTGCACCTTCTTGCATACTCTGTAGAGAGAAATTGAGAGAAAAATTCAGTACTAGTGAGAGAAAATCCAAGATATTAGGGTTTTATCTCACATTCTTGGACAACTTTCAGACCTGTTCTTGGTAAGATCAAGGCATCCATCGACCATCTGTTAGGCTTATCTCAGAGGCAATTCATTGCTGGGTACATAAGGGACAAGAGCAAACTTGGAGGTGCACCATCTTCATCTCCAACTTTGTAGCGGTGACACTGCATTTGGGTGTTCTGGCATGAACAACCACATGGACAATCTGCACTTTTGGACCGTCAAAACATCAAGTATGGGAATTTAGATTCATTTCTTTAGGTCTGAGAAATCTTGATGAAAATCTTGGAGGTTGATCCTACATTCTTGGATAAATTTTGGTTTGAAATACATAAACCGATGTGTTGGAATTATTTTCAGCATGTCATAGAGGGCTGTGTCAGCCAGTACTAAAACTTTTGCCAAACCCTCATATGCATAATCGTATACATATATTACAAAATTTAATCTGACTCAGATCATAACCTGATTGGATGAGATCAAATCCATGTCTGATCCAATTATTAAATGGATGTATGTTCTAAAATCTAAATCTTGTTCGGTTATGTAAGCAGATGATGGACTAGCAAGGCAAGAGGTGAATAGAGCCTCTTTGTAATCTTTTCTTTTCGTTGTTCTGGCTTTGGTTAGTTCCCTGAGGGTGGGATAAGAAAGTTTATCCCCCCCTCTGCATTGTACTTGGCTCTTTCTTCTAATAAAGTTCACTCGTTATTGATCAAAAGAAAATTCATCTGAATCCAAAATAGTTAAATAGGGTGTTAGATCAGGTTTCAGACTTTTGGACTTGATTAACAGGCCTAGGTTTGGGTGATCTAGCCCCCAATATTCATGTTTAGGGCTCTAGGGCTCAGATTTTCTTTTCCCTTCTATTAGGGTGGGAGGTAGTGATTAAAGATCTAAGACCATTTTTTAGCAAGGCTTTGTATCTTGTGTGTACTTTTACTTTTTTCCAATGAGTTTCTTTGTGATCAAATAAAGGATCAACAAACCTGCTGTTAAACATTTGTTTCTTGTTTGTATAAAAACATCAACAAGTGAATTAAGTTCTACAATATGACACTAGCCAGAAACATTAAGAATAAAATGTCATATCAGTATCGCACAACATATAAAGTCAAGCTTACTTGCAGCAGTAAAGAAGGCTATACGAAATACGAACCTTTAGAGCACGCCAATGAGAGTAGGAACGGAATAGGATCCAAAAGAACGGAATGTTAGGCAAGGGCAGAACCTGCATGAGATATGGCAAATGTGAGAAGAGGTACAGAAGAAGATCCAAAAGAATGGAATATTAGACAGTAATTCAACCAACATTTGATATAAATCAAGCATAATAATGAAGGATGTAAGACCAAAAAGAACAAAAAAACAAATTATAAAATCATCAATGGACCAATACTGTCTAATTTGAAAGAGAATGCAAATTAACCAAAAAAAAGAAAAAAAAAATGTAGACGGTACCCCAAACATCTATATATAAAGCAAAGCACCGAAGCCCTCAGACCAGAGAGCTTTCACATAACACACATGGTAACCTCTCCTTTCAGAAAAGAGTATCCATTCTAAGAGCGGTCTTATTGGGCACATGGTTAGCTCCACTCTCAAAAATGGAAAGGGCGGTTATCTTCAACCCCAATAAAAAGTACCTACTTCAAATGGTATGGATCCCATGTTAATAACAACCAACCTTTCTAATTTCATTTCCTAACTCAAATAAAAACTCACGTAAAGTCAACTCCCATTCTTTTAGGTAAGATGTGTTGTTAATTTCAAATTAAATATGACTTAATTTCTTAAATTAAAGAAGAAACCAAACTCATATTTATGCTAGTAATGGATCCCATACAAAATAATAGGTGTAGTTTCCCAATACTTGGTATGGGGTGATCATTACCTAGTACTAACTAAAAGAAAAGGTTAGTCAAACCAACATTAAATAATTCATAAACTTACAGTGAAGGCCATTGTGAATGGAAGCAATGAAACTGAACCATAGAAGTATTTTCTGTGAATAATTGTTCCCCTGAAAAGCAGATAATGGAGCACCCATTTTCAGTAAAATGTGCATCACCTCAATCACAACTTAAAGGTATCAGCAACTTTTTTTCTTCAAATTCATGATAGTCCATCATGGATAGAAGAATAAAAAGCAAGAGTTCTTACATATTTTACCAGTGGAAATCAGAACAAGAACTAATTTTCTGTAGTTTATAACTTCTAATACTTAATAACCATATTTCTACATCTCTTAGTACAATAAGTATAGGATGCCATTAAGAATTTACAGACAGAATTCACATGCAGAAAAATAGTTGTTTCAGTGGACATGATATTTTTTAAGGCCATGTTACAAAAATATCCAATTCTCTTCTAGCATCAGAACTAAAAGTCTATAGTTTGCTAACATTATCCCTCCACTTGGAAAATAGGGGAGGAAAAGATAAAAAAGGGAGAAGGAAGATTTCAGGCAGCGCCGAGAAGGAAATAAGAGCTAGTGATTGAAGAAAAATAGTTTTTGTTTGAGGAAAAAAGTTTTAACCCAGCCAAAACTAGTGTTCAAACTCTTTACAAGAAAGTCAATTTCCCCAAACACAAATCTGTATTTCCAAGGGGCTGAGTTGATTTTCTTACCCAGGAAATAACCGATAAGGAGTCTCCTTCTACTTCAGCTATCTAATTCCTAGTTGTACTGCTAGTTTAATTTCATGTAGAAGAGCCATTATCTCAGCCTTAACTGAGTCTCCAAATCCAATTGGTCCTGAGAACAAAGCCACTACAACTCCTTGATGGTTTCTAAAGATTCCCCCTATGCCAGCCCTCCCTAGATTGCCAAGGGAGCTCCCATCAAAGTTTAGCTTTAATTTATTTGACTCCAGAGGTTTCCATTCCATTCTCACAACTTCTTTATGTTTATCTGTCTATACCACTTCAGACCATTTCCATAACAAGTCATTTGTAGAGACATCTCTAAAAAGTTCCAATGTTTTTGCCCAATGTGCAACTCTTATTTTAATGGTTTCAATCATTCTTCATTTTACTTAATCTTCTAAAGATCCTTTGGTTTCTTTCTTACCAAATGGACCACACCACATCTGTTCTTGTTATCCTCCACAAACATTTTTCCCAACTGACTGAACATTTACTAAGTTGGCTTCGATGATCGTATTTACCAAGATATCTTTAATGTAGGATTTCTGTGTTTGTTTATCTTGATTCACATTTAATAAGATAGCGTCATAATGGGATTTTCAAATTTATCTTCAATTAGGACTTTCTTTTTAAAGAGATTTAATAAGATTTTAATAAGGAGTGCTCAATTAGATTAGGAAGCTTTCTCATAGAAGGCATAAGGGTGTAAAGAATTCTATATAAAGAGTAATTGGGCCAAAGCTAGAGGTAATTCTGTTGGTTTTTTCTTAATTATTTAGTGAAGAATTGTTCTTCCCGTTCTTTGGCCTTGATTCTTCTCTGAATGTGATTTGTTTCCAAATTGCGCCATTTGGTATTAAAGCATAAGTTTGATCCTTCTTTGGATTATGGCTCCTAAGAAGAAACAAGTGGCTCAAATCATGGAGTAAGAAGTCAACAACAAAACAAAAGAAGAGGTGGTAGAGTTGAGAAGACAAGTCAATGCACTTACTCAAGAGTTGAAATCGCTACATTCTCGTTCTAAAACATGAGACAACGACTTCGATGCAAGTGCCTCCACTCATTCCTTTTCATCATCATGGTAAGCAACTAAATTGGTTATAGTTGCGGGTGACTAAAGATAGTGGGAAATGGGTATCAAGATTGAGATCAGTGTTTTGAAAGCCCCAGGCACAAAAAAAGCACATAGGGCAATTTGCGCCCGAGGCATGCACCTTTTTGAAGCAAGGTGCAAAAATGCAAAAGAAAAAAGCTAAAAAATAAAAAAAAGAGTCAAAAAATTCAAGAAAATGCAAAAAAAATATAAAAATATATTAAACATAATACTAATAAAAATATAAACTTAAATTTTACAATAGATGTTTTAAAAACCTATTATCTAAAATTAAAATACACAAACATAACATGTAAAGCATATTCAAATGAAAATTTAAAAATAAAATCAAACATATAAAGCATTTTCAAGCATGTAAAACCCATAATCTCTTTTTTTCCTCAATTGCATTACTTCTAGTAGCAAAAGTGACCGAAAACATATTGCATTCCTGATTCTACGAGCGTCCTTTGTACCATACCCCTCAAGGCAAGCCCAAACAAGTCTATGTTAGGGTCTTAAATTCTTAATTCTCACATAAAAATAATAATTTTATAACCTTAAATGCCTTTTAAGAAGATATTTTATAAAAATGAATGAATAAACAACATTACGAAACCAGCTTCCTATTTGCTAATGTCATTCATTCATTTTAATAAAATGTCTTCTTGAAAGGCAATTAATGTTATAAAATCATTACTTTTATGTGAAAATTAAGAATTTAAGACCCTAACATGGACTTGTTTGGGCTTGCTTCGAGGGGCGTGGTCAGGGATCCGGGGGTGGAACCCTCGGCCTAGCTGATAGGTTCAAAAAAAGCAAAAACGCGTAAAATTTTAAAAAGGTGCACGCCTGGGCTGAGGCACAGGGCGCACCAAGCACACGTCTAGGTGCACCAAGCGTGTGCTTCTTGAAAGAGTTGTGCCTAGGACCTAGGTAATGCGCCTTGCCTGTGTGCCTAGGTGCGCCTGAGGTGTGCCTTTTAAATCATTGATTGAGATCCCAGATTTCCACGGAGGTATGACTCTAGAAGAATTCATGGACTAGCTCTCCGTGGTTGAAGAAGTCCTTGAATTCAAGGAAGTTCCAAAAAACAAGATTGTGCCCTTAATAACCACTCCTATGATGACAAGACCTTAGAAAGTGAATTGGTGTATGGTGATGTAGGTGAAGCCTTAATGATGTAGCGATCATTCTTAAGAATGATTCGTGCCTTGGTGTTATGAATGATTGATGCATCATTAAGGCTTCACATACATCACCATACACCAATTTACCTTCTAAGGTCTCATCATCATAAGAATCAAACACAGGTGGGGCTGAAAAGTCATGTGCTTCTCTTAGGGGTTCCCCCTCATTTTCTACAAACAACACTCCATTTTTTTATCATTCTTTGCACATTCAATAGATTTATGGCCCAATTCACCACACTTGTAGCATTTCAACCCAAATGAGCCAACTTGATTTTGTTTTGGTCCATTAACTAGGGCCCGACCCAATGGGTTAGACCTATTGTTTTGCCTTTCTATGGTTAAAGCATGTTGATGAGCCATAAAGATGTCATAACAATCAAATAAATCTCATACATCCTGAATATTTGGTCTCAAGCCACTAATTGGTCATCGGTTTTAGTTAACCCGTTTCAGGCCATTAACAAGTGAAACTTTCTTGTATACTCACATGTATCAATCCCTTGCTTTAGATATTGCAATTCTTGGTAAAGTAAATGAGTATAGTTATGGGGTAGAAATTCTAACCTCATCTTTGCCTTGAGTTTCTCCCATGTTCTAATCTTTTACTTGCCTCTTTTGTGTTGCATAACCTTCAATTGATACCACCATGCTGTTGCACGCCCCCTAAACTGAGTAGTTATGAAGGGCACAATCTTGTTTTCAGGAACTTCCTTAAATTTAAGGACTCCAATTACCATGAAGAGCCAGTCCATGAATTCTTCTGGAATCATACCTCCATGGAATTCTGGGATCTCAATCTCGAAACCGGTTTTCCATTGTTTCTGGTCACCACCCACAACAACAGCCAATCTAGTTGCTTTCTTTGATAATGAAAAGTAACGAGTGGAGGCACTTGCATCGAAGTTGTTGTTCCCTATTTTGGAACGAGAATGTAGCAATCTCAACTCTTGAGCAAGTGCATCGACTTGTCTTCTCGACTCCACCACCTCTTCTTATGTTTTGCTATTGAGTTCCTGCTCTATAATGTGAGTCACTTGTTTCTTCTTAGGAGCCATAATTCAAAGAATGATCAAACTTGTGCTCTAATACAAATTGGCATAGTTTGGAAACAAATCACGTTCAAAGAAGCTTCAAAGAAAATAACTAAAGCCGAAAAATAAGAAGAACAATTCTTCATTGAATAATTAAGAGAAAATCAACAGAACTACCTCTAGCTTTGGCCTAACTACTCTTTATATAGAATTCTTTACAACCTTATGCCTCCTACAAGAAAATTTCCTAATCTAATTGAATACTCCTTATAAGAATCCTACTAAATCTCTTTAAAAAGAAAATCCTAATTGAAGATAAATTCGAGAATCCCGTTATGTTGCTATCTTAGTAAATGCGAATCAGGATAAATAAACAAAGAAATCCTACGATAAAGCTATCTTGGTAAATATGGACTAAGATAGATAAGATAGATCATTGAAAGCCAACTTCGCAAATGCTTACTCAATTGGGCCAAATCCTGTACTGCATCACATCTTCCCCTTTTTTTCTGTTGCCTTAAGAAGTTGGAGTCAAACAAACTAACCACATCTTATGGGGGAACTCATCTACAACCAAAGGTAACAAAAGTAGTCCCAAATGCAAGTCAACAAAGAGCAAAGGATTAGTAAATGAGAAAGGGTCTCACCACTAGCCTTACAAAAGAAACACATGAGGAAAGAGGCAAGTAACCGGCCTTCTTTTCTGTAGCACATCACAGGTGTTAGTCTTTCCAAGGAACATCTCCCAACAAAGAGCCTGCACATTAGGAGGGATTGGTTTGCAACAAATAAGAGACCATCAGCTGAGGAGTGCCAAATTCTGCTATCCAAAAGATTGTGGTCCAACAAACTTTTTCCAACAAAGAGATTAGAAGACTAAGGGATTCACATCCAAAATCCCTCAACGCCCTTCTGAACCCAAAGTCCTAGTTTAACCCATATTCTAAGGGCAAGCCAAAACTTGAAATAGGTTCAGGCTTATGATTTGATAACAAGTAGAGTGTTAGGAATTGCAACTTAAGTGGTAGGTCCCCAAGCCAGAGGTCTTCCCAGGATAAGACTCTATTCCCACAACCCACATCAAAATGAATGTAGTTTAAAAAGGTAGGCAATACCTCAAAGATTGCTTTCCAAGGGTAGTTTGAAGTAGTACGAAGGGATAGTTTGCATCCCAGTCATTGTCCACTACACCATTAATGCTTTTAACAACTGTGTGCCACAATCTATCTCCTTCTAAGGGGAATCTCTAAAGCCATTTTCCTAGAAGAGCTATATTTTTCTCAATCAAATTTCCAATACCTAATCCTCCTTGCTCCTTTGATTTACACACCAGTTCCCATTTTACAAAATGGTCTTCCTTTTCATCCCCTAGCTCCCACAAGAAGTCTCCTATCGATTTTTCTAACAGTTTGGCTACTTTTGTCAGGATCCTAAAGGTGGGCAAGTAGTAAGTGGGTGAATTGGCTAGGATGGATTTGATCAAAGTGATTCTTCCTCCCAAAGAGATATAGCTTCTCTTCCACAAAGATAACTTTTTTTGCAAATCTTTCCACTACTTCCAAACCAATATTGCACATATTTCTAAGGACATTATGTAAATCAAGAGTACATGTCTTTTTCAGATATGGATAATAACATGTGTGCTCATATTGGGTTTTAAGAGAAGTGATGGACATATATTTACTGAATTCAATAATGGCATCTTTGTTCCACAATCTGTTTTTCTTTAACCAGCAACAGAAGTATAGGATTAATATATAAATATGGATCTATGGTAATTATAAAGCCCTAAGAGTCAACACTCAAAAGACTCCTGAGAAGTCATGTACTAGATAATTGGGTAATCTGAGAACCCAACCAAATAAAGGGTACACTCTGGAAACCAAATATCTCTCTTCTTCCATCCAAATGCCTGGAATTCCAAAATTTCAGTATGCTAGAAAATAGCATTTCATCATTTAGGATTTACTGTTATTAACCTTGCAAGGTGTGATTACCTCTAAAAGGAAAAGGAAGTAAAGAAAATATGACAAAGCTTCATGCCACAACCATAATTATGAAGAAATACTTCAAAAAATAGTCTTGGAACATATAAATTTCCAGTAACATAAAAACAGATTACCTCAAAGCAGTATGTCGCAATCGTCGGCGTACTAGTCTTGAATTTAAGCTGCAAATATTTTGGGAAGTTTCGTAATCAATATTAAATGGTTGAAGATATAAATATGAAAATAAAAAGGGATAGAGTAAAGGCCATTAAATTCAATTAATAAAACATTAGAAATTGGGTTAAGATATGAACAACTTTCTCGGGTAAGAAACGAAATGGACTTGAACTTGTCAAGTTCTTCTAACTTCATATGGTACACATCATTGACCTCCACCAAGTCGATCTTCTACAACCCTAAAGATTTTGATAACCCCAAAAAAGAAATACCTGATTAACCACTCAACCAAGTATCAGGTTTCAAACATCGTGTTGGCATAAAAATCTGATGGGATTCTCATATAATTCACTCAATTGGATAATTGAGCTTTCATTAATCTGGGTACAATCTCAGGATATCATATAGATGGACCCTTAATCTCCACAAAGAGCAGAGAAAATCCTTTGACTTTTACTTGATAAAGCAAACCAAAGATCAAACTTTCAACATTGCAAATCCTTTTAGGCCCCATTCCTTTTTCAGGTAAGAGGGGGCAGAGGGAGTTGGTCAATGGGAAAGTGGTTCCCATTGACCAACAATCCCATGTTCTTTTTTCGGTAAATCTGGGTCCCATGGTAAAATGACTTTTTTTTATGAATTACTGTGAAATTTCATTAAAATTTTAAAATTAAGCAAAGTACATTAGAATGGAGAAGAGATAAACTCTCTTAGCTCTCCCCAAAAGGCTGATTACACAATAGCCCAAAACAAAAGATCCCTCCCCACCCCTGTTTTGCAAGTGCATCTGCAAAGGAATTAGCACTCCTTTTAACCCATTGCAATCTTATTTCTATATTTTGCATCAGCCACTTAAACTTCTTCTTATCATTAAGATAGCACCATAAGACAGCTTCCTCAAAAACTGCCATCATCTCAGATCTAAGTGAGTCCCCTACACCAATTGGGCCCAAAAACATGGCTGAAATTTTGCCCTCTTCATCCCTGGGTACTCCTCTAATGCCCAAGGGACCAGGATTTCCTTCATTACTGCATCAAAGTTCAATTTGAGAAAGCCACAACGAGGAGGAGACCAAATGGAAAGTTTCACAGCCTTAGTAGGACCTGAAGCAGCCACCTCCTTCTAGCTTATTAATATATCAGCCGGTGGAATGTCTTCAAATAATGGCATGAACTTTACCCATGCCCAACTCTAAATGTAATGGTTTCAATAATTTCAACACAGCTTCTTTCCTTATCTCCAAAATTTTTCAAATTCCTCTCCTCCCACACTGTCCAACACACAGCAGATCTTGTGCATCACCAAAGCATTCTCCCCCTCTTCTTTGGCCAAGTAGCAGATGTAGAAGCAAATAGGCTTTGTACACTTGGCAAGGGAATCCACCTGCTAATTCAAAATTCTTGAGTCCCCTTCTTAACCCCAGATCCTAATCAAATCCTATCCTAGAGTAGGAAGGAAGAAGGAAAGAAGAAATTGGCTTTTCATTGAAGTTTGGAAGTGCAATCAATGCAAGATATTATTCTTTTAGAGTCTTGTTCCCTATCCAAACATGTTCCCAAAACTTTATCTGGGTACCAGAACATAAATCATTCCTGACAACCAGTGGGAAAGAAGGCAAGACAGCATTGATGGCCTTCCATAAGATGTTCTTGTAGCCCTAGCTGAAATTTCAATGTCCCAACCATTAGCCGCAACTCCCAGTATACTTTTAATCGCCTTCACCCACAATTTATCCCTATCTATGGGCAACTTCCACTGTTAGAGAATTATGCCCTTAGCTCCAATCAGATTGATGGATCTTTTGACATTTATTGTAAATGAATAAAGTACATAATTGATTCATGTCATTGTAGTGTGTTTCTGTGTAATACCCTTAAACTGGACACTTATGAGACTTGTGTTAGTTTAGAATCTTCACAGCCATTGGATAGATCTGGAGAGATTTATCCTGACAAGGCTGACACTGATGTACTGCCAAGTTGGTTGGGGTGGCTTGTCTCAACTACCAGGGTGAGACTTGAGGTACATGCAGTGTGGGTTTTCTTGATACCCTGAACCAGACCAAATTCCAGTATTACCCTGGACCTTAGAGATAAATGGGCAAAACTGGAATGTTACACTTGGCCCCTAGACTCGATTATGGTACTGCACTAGGTGTCGGATCGGGCTATCTTTGATATGCCAATAAGTGAGATCCTTAGAGGGGGTCAAAACCTGGGTATGTTGGGCCAGTCCGAGAATTCACCTGAGTGGGTGATCATAGTGACRGGATCAGCCCCTTTGTCGGACAAAGTGAATGATCGGGGAATGCACTCTCTGATGGAAACCTAAACTGCCAGCAGTTGATTTCAAACGTTGAAATTTGTTTTTGCAAAATATATTTATATAGAGATATACATACATACATATATATATATTATGGTTTCAAAATGTTTGCAAAAGGTTTTAATTCCCGGGATCCATGTGAGTAGAGAGTGCAACACTGTTCCTTACAACCGAGGGAGATGTCTTCTCTTGTCGGGTAGTGTTTGATCATTATGGGCTGAGAGCTTAAGTGTAAGACCATTGAGGGTAATACCTAATGGGCTAATCTTGCATCTACCCACAGTTCTTGGGTTTTCATTTGGTAAGAGTACATCTAATCAAAGTCACTCTACCACCTAACGAGAAATAATTCTTCTTCCAAGAGGCCAATCTTTTCTCAACTCTCTCAATCAATGGATTCTAAAAATCACTACTCCTTGGATTACCCCCCAAAGGTAGACCTAAGCAATTCATTGGCCATTGAGACACCTTACAACCCAAAATAATTGCACTCTCCTCCATCTCCCCTTCTACCAAATTGATACCCACTACACAACTCTTGTCAAAATTAATCTCTAAATTTAGCATTCTCTCAAAAAGCGACACCACCAATTTCATATTTTTAATCCACCCCCTCTCACCTCCTTCACAAAATAGAATAGTATCATCTGCACATTGCAATTGGGTTATTGGTAAACCATCTCTACAAATTCACCATCCTCTCACCAAATTTCTAGAGACTTCTCTATTCCTAGAAATTAATCTCCCAAAAACTTCTAGAACTAGGATAAAAAGAAATGGAGAAAGGGGGTCCCCTTGCCTAATTTCTCTAAGAGCTAGGAAAAAAATCCACCACCCTACCATTTACCAAGATAGAGTAATGACACATCTGCATACATCCCATAATCCAGTTATGCCATCTTTCCCCAAATCCAATGATTTTCATCACCTAGTCCATGAATGATCATTGACCAATCAACCAAATCATATGCCTTTCCCAAATCAAGCTTGCAAACTAAAACTTTTCTTTTCTTCCATTCGTTTTAATGTCTGATATGCTTCCATTCACAATTAAATTTGATCAATTATCTGCTTGTTCTTCACAAATGCCCCTTGATCGGGTGAAATTATTGTAGGAAGGACAAGCCTTATCCTCCTAGATATCACCTTAGCTACGATCTTATACAAAACTGTTCACTAGACTAAATGAGCAAAAATCCCTAGGATGAGATGAATCAGCTTTCTTCAAGATCAATGCTATAAATGTACAATTCATACCTTTCACTCCTCACAAAAAAAAGCTCAAACACCCCTTGAATATCATCCTTTAAAATGTCCCAACAATCTTGGTAGAATGCCATTAAATCCATCTGGTCTTGATGCTTTGGATTTGTCCATAGAGAATACTATCTCTTTGATCTCTTCCAAAGCAAACTCCCTTTCCAACCATGTCTTAAGATCATTTGTCAAAATTGTCCACTCTAGTCCATCCAACCAAATCCTATCACTTGGGGGACTTCTATAAACCCTAAATAGTTCCACAAAACCTTAATAGTTTCATCCTAGTGGGTAAGAGTGTCGCCATTTACCACCAATCTAGAAATGAAATTCTTCCACCTACCATTGGCTATGGCATAAAAAAAAGTTGTCTCTATCCCCCTCTTTTACCCATTATGTCTTGATTTTTGCCTCCAACTAATTTCCTACTTATATAGAAAGCCCGCCAATTGTCTCTTTACAACCCATCTTTCCTCTTTGACTTCTTGAAATGTTCCCAATTCTTTTCTTTTCTTTTTGATAAATGAGAGCAGTTTTATTAATTCAAATAACGAAAATACAATCAGCCTAGGAGGAGGCACGAGATGTTACCTGCCTTGAGGACTGAACCATATACACTAAACATGCCCAAGCCTGAGACACAATTACAAAGTAGCCCAAAACAGATCTCCCCTTGACACCCCTTGCTTGGCCAGAGAATCAGCCATTGCATTTGCTGATCTTCTGACCCACTAGAACCTGACAGTCATATTTCTTGTCATCCATTTAACTTTATTTAACAGATCCCTGTAGCCCCAACAATTTGTTTATAGGCTAATCAACCACCCTACTACTACCTTGGAATCCCCTTCTACTAACAGATTGTTCACTCCAATTTGACTAGCCATCTATATACCTTGTACCGCTGCTAGTAGCTCTGCCCTTACAGAATCACCTTCACCCACTGGTCCGGAAAATAGGGACAACATATTGCTGTCTTTGTCTCTCAAAATCCCACCGATTCCGGATGGCCCTGGGTTACCTTGGCAACTTCTATCCAAATTCAATTTTACCACTCCATCCGGTGGGGGTTTCCATTCAACTTGTGAATTGATCTTGGTGGAGACTGTAGAAGCCACTGCAGCCCAGTTTCTCCTTGAGTCATCAAAGGAGTAATCTGCCAACAAATGTGAAGATTTTAACCATGAGATAGTCCTTGTCAATATGCATTCCTTGATTTCAGCAAGACTTCTTTCCTATTCTTGAAATATTCTAGCATTTCTCTCCTCCCATAAAGTCCACAAGGTAGCAGCTCTGATACATTTCCACATTAGCTTCCCTCTTTTTGTCAATCTCCCAAAAGCAGCCGGAGTGAACAGCAACTTTACTTCAGAGGGCAAGTTCCACCTGCACCCAAATAAGGAAACAACCCAGTTCCAAATA